TGAACTCTGGCAACACTCGTATGTTCGAATATTCTAAGTCAGTACTTTTCTATTTTAATGAATACCGAAATTCTGTCTATACAAAAAGTAGTTGCTAATAAACTGTCGTTGAATAAACATCCTCGGCTTTCGATTTTATTTCATCAACAATTTTTTTTAAATTAATATTATATGTTTGACAAGTCTAAAAACTTTTTATACGGATTTGAAGTTACAGGATCGAAAAAAAAATTATAAAAAGATTTTAATCTAGTATGGTTTTAAAATCACTGTCTTGTAATTATGTTATGCTTTTAACACACTTAGCAATATTGCTGGAATGAACATGAACTTGGAAATCCCCTTCTTCGATGACTCTTACCTACACATTTTTTTCGCATGATATTTACATTGCCGAAATTGATATATCCAGTGAAGATACCGACTTTAGTCCAGTTCGTCGCAAACAATTGCGCTTGTTATCAAGTAGCGACGAATAATTATGTAGCTATGTAAATAATTTTCTTTATTTCCATTCTAATTTTGTTTTCTTAATTCTGGATTTTGTTTTTTGCTTAATCTACCACTTTTTGAACAGTATGAATAATGTATTTTAAGTTTAAATGCTCAATAAAATGTCATAAGAACATACAATCTTTATGCATATCTGAAATTTTATAGTTTTCAACATTTTTTACATGGTTTTCCGAAGTATATATGGTTCTTTATTTCATCTTACACGGTTTTCAGATGACATGGAACGTATCACCCCTTTTTCTATAGAAACGCCTCTGCTTTACACTTTTTTTACACGGGTTTCGGAGGAATGTATCTACCGTGTGAAAAAAGAGTTGGCTGTATATTAAATATCTTCTCAACACATAGAATTGTAATATAATAAAAACTAGAGGACCCGTCCATAGTTTGCTGTGGATGGCCGTTAGATAATACTACCACTAGCTTCTATATGATTTATATTAGTCATCCACCGTCGAAAAGAGATTTGCTAAGTTGGAAAGTAGCGAAATGACGTCCTAAAAAGGCGAAAGCTCTGTGCCAAGGTCATAATATTACAAAAAACAACGAATTGTTGATTCTGAGGAATGTTTGAGTGTTCTTTAATCGTAATAAAACCGAATTTTTGCGTCGGTGTGTGACAATAGAAATATGGAGTCCAATCGACAGTCATTCTAGTGGACTGCCCATGATGAATCAGTTCTCAAGCGTGGAAAGACGAAAAAGTCGGCTGGCAGGGTTATGACATCAGTCTTTTGGGATGCACGTCTTGTAATATTCATCGACTGACTGCTGAGCTAGTTATAATCTATTGCAATGCGTATTTGTTGCAGTTCTCTTCTACTATTCCAAATGGTTAGCAATTTTATTATTTTTGAAGAAGAATCAGTTTGAAATTGTACGCATATACTTCATCATTTCCGTTTACATATTTAAACGCGTCCGATCACTACTAATTTCAAAGTGCTATAAGGAGAACCGTAGTCTCCGACGCGCTCTTTATAAGCACTGACTCGGCCGGCTGATACCGCCGCAAATGCTACGTCCCGCAATTTTTAAATCTGTAATATCTTCGAAAGTAATCATTTAAATCTTATGCTGCATAGATCTACATATGTATCAGAGAACGTCAGGGGTGTCACTTTTTGGCACCCGAGCCACATGCTCAATTTCGTTAATTATTTTTTTATTAATAGGCATTGAAGACCAAATACATATCAAATATATAATGCCTTTGTTGTAAACCTTAAAATTAAGATGAAATTCGATGAGTTAGCTCTCCCCTCTATACCCACGGCACTGAAGGAACACACGACAACACACCACACCAACACCTTTTTTACGTCGATCTTGAACCGAGCGAACGTGTCACGCAGCGTCATTTTTTTTTACCCACATTCCGCACGTATTATTGCATTTACTAATGTATATTTTGAAGTGGTAGTGTAGTGAGTAAAACAAAAAACCGAAATTGTGTCTTTTTTAATAAAACTAAAATAAACCCGAATTGTGTCTTTCTTGCTAATTAAATTTTGCCGGTGAAATAACCAGAGCCGAGTTCCAATGTGAGTGGTGGCTAAAACGAAGTAAGTAAACATTGGTCCTTCGAGCCATAGTGAAAGGCACTATGGAAAAATAAAAAAATAAAATAAAAAAATTTGGCCTGAGTGACAAATAAGTGGATATTTTTAACATACGCCAAGTGAACAAGCTTAGAAAAACAAAAAAAAAAAAAAACTAATAAAATTAAAGAAAAAAAATTGTGCTGTGACAAAAGTGTAGTTAAAACAGTGAAAAAAAAGGAAGTGAGACAGTGAGCATATAAGAATGCAGTTCAGTGGCGACATACATACATATACACACATACATACATAAATGCGAGACTAGGCAAAACATTTGCCTTCCGGAAGAAAAAAAAAAACGAAAGTGAAAGCTACAGTTCTGGTGAAATACAGCAAAGCAGTTTTTTTCTGGTGTAAAACACAAATGTACTCCACATTTTCGACATCGTACTTTTGTACGAGATGTGCAATTGGGATTCTTACATCGCGGCTTTCCCTCCTTCACATACTCTGGTAAATGCCCAACGTTATCTAGGCGAATGTCACGTGGTGGTAGCGGACCAGACATGGGGCGTTGACGTTTTGAAGATATTTCTACTTCCAAATTTGTTCGTCGACCTTTTCCAATTCTCATATCAGTACCAGGTTTTGTCAGGCACTGGGCAACTTCTGACACAAATTCGTGCAATACCATCTTGGGCTCAGTTTCATTGGTGTCCGCATGATGTCGCTTATATAACATCCAGACATTGATGATAGCCATATCACACATGTGGTAGAATAATCGGTTTGTCCACTTTCGTGATTTTATGAGAATATGACTACGACCCAGTGACGAATCCAAGAGGTCAACGCCGCCCATGTATTTGTTATACTCGTGGATAACGTTTGGACATTGAATGCTCTCTGTAATTTTTTTCTTTTTGTTGTAACTTTCAATGGTAGGTACATTCGCAGGCGTTTCGCCATTGGCCGCAAGATATAGCTTTATTCCAGCCATTGTTGAAGCCATGTTGACAACTTTATTGTCATTCCAAGCCACAGTTGTAACATCAATTCCGTGAAATGAAGCAGCGTATTCTTCCCAATCACAACGATTTTTAAATTTCTGCTGTAATTTGCACAATGGAATTCGTGAACGGCGAATAGCCTTGTGTTCGCAAATATACCATCAACGGAATCGAAGTGTAATAATTGTCAAAAAAAATTGCATGATTTACAAATCGCGGAACCGAGCGGGCTAATCTGACAACAATATTTGCTGACGCACCCAAGTTTGGTTCATTGCCTTGACGGTGGTCGTCATCGCCGGAATAAATTTAAAATCCGGAATCTTCGCACAGTAGGAATAATTTATCACCCCATGGGTGTGGCTTATCTGGCATGTATTGTTTCATATAGTGCTTTATTTTCGTCACACAGATTTGCTTGTCAACACATAATCTTGCTCGCATTGGAACCTTTTTGAAGTTCCTATTTAGTGCCGTGAGTATTGGGCGTATTTTGTACAAACGGCCATATCCCGAATCGTGTTGTGGTATTTGTCCATACATTTCAACTGCCTCAGACACCGGATTACGTCTGCAAATGCGCGCAGCATCCGATGATGTTGATGGCAGTTGCTGGCATCACGCGGAACTCTGCCTGTCACGATTAGAGCGTGGCATTCCATCGTTATTATTAAAATGCAAGAATTGGCGAATTCTATCGTAGCGATTCCTTGGCATACAATCCATGATTGGCTTGAAACCATAGTTACCCCCATAATAATCGAATTCCGGGATATTTATACACCGACATATAAAAACTGATTCCCATAAAACGTTGTATTTCATCAGGCGTGGTGTTCAATGGGTTTTCAATGTTTTGTTGTATTGCGTACAATTTGCTCTGTTCCACAATATTTGAAATAATGTCGTCTGACATAAGAAATGTAAAAAACTGAAGCGGCGAATACAATGCCAATATCTCCGGTGTCAAAGCCTCATCACCTCGAAATCTTATCCAATTAGCGTATAATTGAAGATTTCTTTTTCGCCACAACGGTTTTTTGAATACATCAGACTCTTTGTCAATCCATACCCCTTCAAACATTGTGGCATACTCCAGCCATCGGGTGTGATCACCTACATACAACAACTGGCTCTTCTGCAACATCCATACCTAATAAAAATCTTATTTAGAAACAAAAAGCTTTCGTATAAGAGAAAGGGATATTTTACATTGATTTGGTTCACTATTTTCTTCTATAACTGGATTGCCGATATAGGCATCTGCAATATCTGCCACATTCTGAACAACAGCTAAGTCAGCAATGTTCTGAACATCTGCTACTTCGTCTTCTAAATC